AGCCAGCACCAAGGTACCTGTCCTCCGTGTGGGGTGCTGAGAGCAGGGGGCCTGGCTGTCCTGGCAAGTGGCCAGAGGGGCGTCCTGCGCTGTGCCTGCTGGGCCTGTCCTGGCTGCGCCTCTGGTCATTTCTAATGCATCTTCTCAGAAGTCCTTGCAGAGGACTGCCTTCTTTGTCCTTGGCAGGACAGAGGGCCTGGAAGACCCCAGGGAGCTGCCTCTGCTCTTCCATGTTTGCTGTCAGGGGTGGTCCAGCCCCGGCCTGTGAGGAGCATGCCACCACCTTGCTGGGCTGAGATCAGGCCAGGCCCCACTTGCCACCCTCGATTCACCACCATTGTTTCCAAGCACGCTTTATAGAGAGGAGGAAAAAGTCCATGAGAGGATGGGAGGGGTTGATCAGCGCTGCACCCCTGTAACCCCAGGGACTTGGGGGCAGGAGGGTTGCAGGTTCAAGGCCAGCCTCAACAACTGAGCAAGGCCTTGTCTCAAAATAAGAAACGAGAAGGGCTGGGAGTGTGACTCGGTGATGGAGCACCCTGGGTCCAGGTCCCTGTATGGAGAGAGAGAGCTGCCATGGGGTGTGGACAGCTGGGCTCTACAAGGCTATTTCAAACGGTTTCTTAAAACAGCAGGCTGTCCAAGTGAGCAGTGGGTTCACAGTCCTGGGTGACCTGCCTTCTAGATATGCACAGACCAGCCTGCGAGGACCGCGAGCCACGTGAAGCCTGCCCAGAGGAGAGGCCCAGGGAGTACCTCGCACCCAAGCCCAGGTGTAGGCGGGGCACCTCGCCGGCCGCACCGTGGCAAGCGCTTCTTGAGAGTACAGGACAGTGGTGGACAGTGGCTGACTTTCTCATAGGTGTCACGGGAGAAGACATGTCTCCTAAGAAGGGCCCAGGAGTCCCGGAGAGAAGGGGACTTGACCCAGAACAGCAGGGTTGTTGGCATGGGTGACACAAAAGAACTTCAGCACTGGCCAGTTAAGGTAGGGTCAGAGGCTTATTGGGAAAGAAGATGCACATTTGAGGGAGGATGCTGACGATCTTGAGGGCGAGAAGCCCGGTCTGGGGCTGGGGGTCTGATGTTTACAAAGGGCTGTATTGGGAGCAGGCTGGAGGTGGATCTGGGTGGAGCTGCACAATTTCACACCAGTTTTCCCTATGCTTATAAATTTCCCTCATTTTATTCATTTAATTTTACTTTTTGGAGCTGGGGACTGAACCCAGGGCCTTGTACATGTGAGGGTTGTTTCCCTCAATTTACTCAGGTGCGAGCCAAGGTCCTGGGGTGCAGGGTTCACGACTGTGCCCTCTGCGGCTCAGCAGCTGTGGGTGTTCCTTGAAGACTCAGCACCTCTCTCCAAACTGGTGGAGAAGTGGCACCAGGATGGCTCTCTCCTTGTCTCCAGTGAGCTTTTGTGCCTGGACTGAGGCTGGCGGTGTGGCCTACGTCTGCCTGGAGCTGGGAGTGGCCTCAGGCTGGCGCCTTTGCCCACGGCCTTGGTACCGCTCCTGGTGGACCACACGGTGCCACCAGGGGCTGCTTCCAGAGCTCACTTGGAGGCATTCACAGCAGCCTGAAGCTCTGGTGACATCAGGTCAGGCCTGTAGTGCAGAGTGGTCCCTGGGCAGTGCAGGGCACTGAGCTGCCAGCCCCCTCCTCCTGGCCTCCAGGGCAGGCAGTCTGTGGGCTGTGTGCCCTCTGTTCTGCGTCAGGTCCTGAGGTCCTGTGGACGTCCTGCAGATGAGACCAAGGTGTCCCATGGTGGGCATGAGGATCTCTGCTGGGCCACGCTCCAAGACCCACGAGCAGAGGGAGCCCTGCAGGTGGCAGTGCCTGGCAGGAGGACAGCTGTGTGCACCGCCCAGAGGACGGCAAGCACAGCGCGAGCAGTGAAGGGGACCAGGAGAAAAGGAGAAGTCTAGAGACCCGTGAGGAAGGGCTGCGGCCAGTGCACAGTGGGCTGGGCCTGGGAGGCCGAGCACCGGCAGCACTGCGGGAGAGCCCCTCTCCTGCCTGGACTCGGCTCCTGGAGGAGTGCGGTTTGCTTTGGACCCTCCTCCTGCCCCATTCACCGGCACGTCCATCCGCAGCCAGCGCCATGGTCCTGAGTGCCATCGGGCCAGGTGGCTCCTCAGCTTCACTCCTGCATCAAAGATCTTGGCTCCTCTGGGTTCTTTTTTAACATTCATTTTCCAGTTGCAGTTGCACACTTTATTTACATGTGGTGCTGGGGATGGGACCCCGGGCCTGGCATGTGCTAGGGGAGCGCTCTACCGCCGAGCCCCAGCCCCAGCCCCTCCTCCAGGTTGTCAATTAAAAAAAAAAAAAAGTCAGGGGCAGGGGCTGGGGCTCAGTGGCAGAGCACGTGCCTGGCATATGTGAGGCTCTGGGTTTGATCCCAGCACCACATATAAATATTTAAAGAATAAAGGTACATCAACAACTAGAAAACATTTTTAAAAAGCAGTCAGCTGGGCTTTTGGTGGCCTTGCCCTGGGTGTTTAGATCCTTTGGGGCAGTGGCTGTCCCCCCAGGAAGCCTTCCAGCCGGAACATGGGCCCTTTTCATGTGGGTTTTCTTTCACGCATGTTCGGATGCAGTGCAGTTTTCTGGGTACCAGTCTTTTACCTTCTTGGGTAAGTTTATTGATTGGTATTCTACTTCATTTTTTGATGTTGTTGTAAATGGAATAATTTTCTTGTTGCATTGTTCCTTGCCGAAGTCAAGACACAAAACTGATGTGTGTGTAGTATCTCCTACGGTGAAATTTGTCTGAGTTCATTTATTGGCTCTAATAGATTTCTGCGGCTTCACTGAGGTTTTCTAAAGACCCTCCACACTGAGGCAGAGATGGCTCAGTCTTCCGTTCTCATTTGGAGTCTCTGCCTCGTCTGCTTCCAGGCTCTGGCCAGAACCTCCTTGTGTCCTGAGCAGTGATGGAGAGCTGACATCCTGGTCTTGCTCCTGGCCTTGGGGATGTGGCCAGTCGCCTCCCCGTTGAGTGGGAGCTTGGCTGTGGGCCTGCTGCTGGAGCCACACCTGGCTGAAGCCAGGTGGGGGAAGGCGCCTAGCTTGTGGAATGGGTTTGTGTGTGTGTGTGCCTTGTGCTTTTTATCAGGCAGTAGTTGGATTTGGTCAGCTGTGTTTCTGTGTCTGGAGAAGTGGGAGGGTTTTGACACGCCACACCCCTTACAAAACCCGGGAACCTGAGGTGCAAATTCAGGCTTCAATGTTCCGTTGAGGCAGCACTGTGCTAGGATTTAGCTCTGTTTTGTAGAAAGTACTGTGAGAATAGTACAGGCACCCTTTTAGCACACCTGGTGGGAGGCGGGCGTCACTGTCCCTGCTGCCTTCTTGCGCGTCCACCTGCAGCAGCCGTGCTGCCCATTCGGAAATGGCAGGGCTGCCTGCAGAGCCCCTGGGTCCTGGAGCCCCAGGTAAGCTGGGTGAGCCAAGGTCTCAGTCCCGCCTCCCGCCGCTAGATGTCAGTGGGATCCCGAGCAGCTGGTGGAGTGGGAGGGGCTCGTCCACAGCTGGTTTTGCAGGACTGTGGCTGTCCCGTCACTTCTGGAAGCTGCAGTGGGCTGGACAGCTGGCCCTGCCAGTTCTGTCCCGGCTGTGCTGGTGTTTCGTGTTCCTTGCTGGTTAGTAGCCTGAGTTGTAGGTGATGAGCTACGGCCCTCCGTCGGAGTGGAGTCCCCTCCACCCTGCTAAGGAAAGAGCTGCCAGGTGCTGCTGCCTGGGGCAGGTGGCCGGCCCTGGAGGAGAGCACCTGCTGCGCGGGTTCAGGGACTCGGGTCGGCCGGGCGGGCGGGGCCTGCAGGCGAGGTGGGCGGGGCCTCCCCTGCGGGGCGGAGTGCGCTGCCCGGGCGCTGGCTGTGGAGCGCGGCGCGCGCTGCAGCGCTCCGGGTCGCGCAGAGCAGGGGAAGGCGGCCGGCCCGGCTATTGCGGCAGCGGGTGCAGTCCTGCTAGGTCGCCAAGCTCTTCGGTTCCCTGGGAAAAGTTAGGAGTGTTAGTGATCTCCCCGCGTGACCCGCCCCTCGTCCCCAGTTTGGGAATTGTTTTTCCTAGTAGCTGTGCCTGGGCCTCGCGGCTGCGGTGTCGGGTTGGAACTTGTCTGGGTTTCCAGGCCGGTTCCGCAACCATAAAGCGGCAAATTTGTGTGCTCCCTGTCCTGTGACCACGGCCTGGGGCCAGCACCGTCCACGTCTCCAGCCGGCCCTGCGTGTCCCCGCCCTCCAGAGGACTCCGGGGAGGCTGGGGCCGAATAGCTGCTTGCGGTCTCCTCTAGGGTCTGTGCAGACCTAAGAGGGCGGAGTCTTGTGCGGTGTTTAGGACAGCTCAGCCACCTACAGCCGCAGCTGAGGCTGGTGCTGGATGGCCTGTCCCTCCCCGGTGCACAGATGAGCCCTTCCCTGAAGACCTGTGGGGTTGCAGTTACAGTCAGTGTTGGTGGGGGCTGCGTCCGAGCGTGGTGCCAGTACCCTGGTCTCTGAAGGGAGACAGTGTCACCACAGTCCACAGCCTTCCTCTGCAGCTGACCAGTGGTTGTTTAACCTGGACTTCCATGTTTTTGTTTTTTTCCCGCTACTGGGGATTGAACCCAGTGTATCCCCAGCCCTCTTCATTTTTTGTTTTGAGATGAGGTCTTGCTAACTTGCCCAGGCTGCCCTGGACTTGTAGTCCTCTGCCTCAGGCTCCAGAATTGGTGGAGTTAGGTGTATACCACTGTGCCCTGCTGGGCCTTAGTGTCCTTGTCTGCAGGATAGGGGTGATGGAGCGTGCCCAGAGGCCTTGGTGCTGATCTCAGTCCTTGGTGGTATCCAGGCTGAGATGCCTGCACCCTGGAGCTGGGCTATCTCCATCTGTCCCCGCTGGCGACCTAACGCTGGATTCACAAAATCTGATTATTCCGGTAACTCAAGAAAATGACAAAGAAAGCATGGAACCACACATAATTATCTTTTTAATAATCCAGACACAGCTCTGCGACCTTAAGGTCCTTGGAAAGACAGCACCATCAGAAATCTTTATTCTTATATAGGGGACACACCAGGGGAGGTTCCATGGAACATTCTATCCCCAAAAGGGTCAGGGTAGGATTACAAGGGAACTGGGGGTGAGTGTGGCTCCCCCCTCCTAGGACCACGCCTTGTTATCTGAGGGAGGGAAAAGCCCGAGTCACAGTCATGCACAACAGTGATCTTTCAGATCCCCTGGTGCCTGGGGACTTAAAGTTGCCTGTGTTTGGAGTGGCTCCCCTCGCGGGGTGACTCCCGGGTTGCTGAAGGAAGCGCTGTCGGTCCTCATACCCATCCTGCCAGGAGTGCCAAGGTGGAGAGGGCATTTAACACCTGCCCCTGTGAGGTAAGTGGCGCTGTCTCCATTCAGCCCTGAGAGCCTGTGGGACCGGCAGGGCTCTTCTCTTCCAGATGTTCTCTGTCCTGTCTTGTACATGCGACACCCTCTTGGCTTCCAGATTCTGGCCACTCTGTCAGAGGTCAATCCAGTTGCTCTCGTCCAGGTGGGATCCCTGAGGCTGGCAGTGTCCACCTCACTGATATCTGCCCTGTGTCTTGGGTCCTTCCCTGCCTGCCCTCCCCTTCCCCACGGCTCACACATTCAGTGGCCACAGCTCTCCATCCTTCCCGGGTGCTCTCAGGCCCACCACCTTCCCGGGAGTCCTGGCCCCAACCTTGCCCAGTCCCTTCTCTGCAGAAACAGCCAGAAAAGCTCTTTCCAAATGTCTTGACCCGTCCATTCTCAGACCATCAGAGACCTCCTGCCACTCCCTGTCCCCTGCTGGGGGGCCTAGTGGGCCAGGAGCGTGGCCAGCAGGCTCTTCCTGTGCACAGGGGCCGCCCGGCAGGGCCTCAGGAGTGCCGTCTTGCCCCCTGCTCCCCTCTGCCCCCTGATGCTGCTCTGTGCCAGGCCTGTTCTTCCTGTGGGAGCCCAGCCCCCGCGCCCCCATTTTCTAAGTGTCAGGATCTGAATCCATAGTGTGTCCTCCCTGCAGTTCCTTTGTGTCCCCAGGCCCTCGCACAGTGAGTCACATCAGCCTGACTGGGTTCCCCTGCCCAGGTGCCTGCAGCAGCCTCTCCAGCGGTGCTGACCGAGGCCTGTGGTGCCTCTCCTCATGGGCAGGGCCTTCCTGTGCTTGGATCCACAGCGCAGCTGTGGGACAGGTGTTCCCAGGTGGTGGAGGTGGGACCAGGGCCTGGGAAAGGGGCCAGCGGTGAGTTGGCCTGACAGCGTCTCAGTCTGGTCTCACAGAAGGTCAGGCAGCCCTTGCCTCCTGTGCAGATGAGACTAACCCGGGAACTTCCAGTCTGCTCTGTTCTCCAGGTTGCCTGGCTCGGGCCCGCCCAGGACAGTGGGCAGGGCTGCAGGTGAGTGGAGAGCTCCAGGGCAGAGGCCGGGCCTCCTCCCGAGGGACTGCACACCTCGGAGGCTGTTCCTGAGATCCAAGCCCACGCACACCTTTGGGTTCACCTCACAGCTGCAGTAACTGCACTCGCCCCTCAGCCTGCCAGGCATGGGCCGCCAACACCATGAGCCACTAGATGTTAACATAAAACAGGTTCCAAAAAATGGGGTGCTGTTGTGGCCCCCCAGATCCCCATGTTGAAGTCCTAATCCCCCATGTGATGGCACAGAGTCCTAGGGCCTTTGGGTGCTCATGAGATTGAAGGGTGGTGGGCGGGGTGGGGTTGGGGCTGTATGGGAAGAGTCAGCACTCCAGGGCTTCCCTCCACAAGCATGCCACAGGGAGGGCCTCACAAGCCGGAAGCACCTATCTCCAGGAACAAAATCTGTTGGCATCTTGACCCTGGATTTCCAGCCCCTGAACCGTGAGAAATCAATGTCTGTGGCATTAGTCACTCAGTCTGTGGATCCCTTATAGCCAAGATAGGTGCGAAAAAACCAGCACCAAGTCTCATACAGCATTGACCTTGAGCCCAGCATGGGACAGAGTCCAGGAAATCAGGACTCTGCTAGCAGAGAGCAAGAGGTGGGGGAAGCCAGGGGCAGTAATAATTATACTTGTGATCCCAGTGGCTCAGGAGGCCGAGGCAGGAGGATCATGAGTTCAAAGCCGGCCTCAGCAATAGCAAGGCACTCAGCAACTCAGTGAGACTCTGTCTTTAAGTAAAATACAAAATAGGGCTGGGGTGTGGCTCAGGGGTCCAGTGCCCGAGTCCAGTCCCCAGCATGCCCCACTACCCTCAAAAAAGAGGTGTTGGAAAACAGTGCTTCCAGCAACTCGAAAGCCAGGAGACCAGTGTGCATAAGGAGAGTGTTAAAGGGTCTCCACGTGCACAGGCTTCAAGGGTGAAGAAGCCAGAGAAGAAACTGTCCAGTCTGCAACCAGAGTACGTGACAGAACTGGAGTTGGCACTGTTCCAGAAATAACACCATTTCACATCTCGTCCCTGGTCAGCAAGATTCTTAAAAAAAAAAAAAAAAAAAGCTTGAGGGCAAAGACGCAAGGTTGTGCCATGACACTCTTTTTATAAGGCCTTAGAAATGTTTTAGATACTTTCTAGAACAAACTCCCTGAGCTAGACAAGAGGGATTCTAAAAACTTGAAAAATGCTGTCCCATAGCATTCTAACACACCATACAAAATTGAGAAAATATTTACTCAAAACTTAAAGTGCATTTTTGTCTAATAAAGTTGACTGTAATTTTCTACATAGGCAACCAACAATATTTTTAAGGGACTTGTGTCAGTCTTAGTGAAAAGGGACTGAGATGGTTCAAAATGAAAAGAGGTCTTTGGATTCCAATCTTTCTACAGGCAGTGAGCAGTGTGAAAAACTATTCATATTACAAATCTGAGTCTGTTCATCTTAACTTTTTTATTATCTATCTTTCCTTTTACTTTTTTGAATTTTCCTTTAAAAGTAATATTCTGTTGTTATTTAATGCTACAGTTTCTTTTTAAACTCCTGGGCTCAAGCAACTGTCGACCTCACCCACAGCTGGCTTTCCTTGCAGTTTCTCTAAGGTTATGACTTATAATCTTGTTCACCTTTTCTTATTTCCCACACTACCCCTATTTTCTTTTGCGTTCTAAAAAATTCTGTTTCTTGGTTGTCTATTAGAAGCAGTCTCCTGATATCTTTTTTGCATTCACCTTGAAGAATGAGATGAAGGTTAGTTATGAGGGCACAGGTGAGGCCTGCTGACCACAGAGCAAAGCTGGCACAGTCCAGCACTGCCCAGGGTCCCTCAAGTCTCTACCTTGGGAAAGCCTGCCGTGCCCATCAGCGACACCGGCCTTTCCTACCCTCCTTTCCCGCCGGGTGCAGACAGAGGGAGGCTTTCAGAGGCAGAAACCTTTATTGTCTCCCTGGCTGCACAGAGTGTGAACAGGCCTGCGGTGTGGGAGGCCCCAGAGGTGCTGCCCCTACCCTGCGCACCCCGCGTGCGTGCGCTCCCTCGGCCTCGTGCACCCGCCGGTGCTGGATCAGATGGAAGCTGAGGCGGAAGGCCCGGCCGCACTCGGAGCAGCGGAAGGGCCTCTCGCCCGTGTGCACCCTCTGGTGCCGGAAGAAGCCGGACAGCGCCCGGAAGGCGCGGCCGCACTGGCCGCACTCGTGGGGCTTCTCGCCCGTGTGGATGCGGCGGTGCTCGCTGAGGAAGGAGGCGCGGCTGAAGGCGCGGCCGCAGTCCGGGCACGCGTAGGGCCGCTCGCCCGTGTGGACCCGCTGGTGCTGGAGGAGGTTGGAGCTCTGGCTGAAGGCCTGGCCGCAGTCGGGGCACGCGTACGGGCTCGCCCCGCGGTGAGTGCGCTGGTGGCGCACCACGTTGGAGCTGTGCGCGAAGGTCCTGCCGCAGTCGCTGCACGGGTACAGCTTCTCTCCAGTGTGGATCCGCCGGTGCTTGGCGGCGTCCGACCTCTGGCCGAAGGACTTGCCGCACTCGGGACACCGGTAGGGCTTCTCGCCCGTGTGCACCCTCTGGTGTCTGAGGAGGTTGAAGCTCTGGCTGAAGGCCTTCCCGCACTCCTGGCACACGTAGGGCTTGTCCCCGTGGTGAGTCCTCTGGTGCCGCACCACGTGCGAGCTGTGGATGAAGGCCTTCCCGCAGTCGCTGCACTCGTAGGGCTTGCCCCCAGAATGGGTGCTCTGGTGCTTCACCACATCTGAGTGGCATTTGAAGCTCCGGCCACAGGTGTCACACTGATAAGGCCCCCCTCTGCAGCGGCCTCGCTGATCTGTTCCCGGGCCTGAGTTAAGTGTGCTGTCTGCTCTGGACACACCACCCTGGCCACGGCTGTGCCCTCCAGTTCTCTCACCAGTCCCCAGTCCCCTGGGGCCCTCTCCAGGCCTCTGTGCAGCGTCCACATGTTCACCAAGGTCCTGAGACCTGGGTGCTCGGGGGGACCCTTGCAGGAGCACAGGCACAGCTTCTTCAAGGCATCCTCCTGCCCCGGAAGCCTCCAGCTGTGCAGTCAGCCCCACAGTCTGCACTGCCTGCCCAGCACACACTGGAAATGCAGTTTTTACAGCTAGAGGAGATCAGACATGCACAAGCTTAGACACAAGACGACCATGATACAGGTGAATGTGAGATGGCACCAGCAAGCCAGGGAAATGACTGAGGAGTAATAAAGTCCTACGTAGTGGATATCTATTATTTTGCCTATCCAGTTCCTATTTTCTAACATTCGTGGTCTGGGCTTAAGGGGTGGGTCTGGAACAGTGCATCTGGTACCCCCTGGAGGGACAGGCATCTGACTGTGGACATAGGGCTGACTCTCAGTTCATGGGAGGTGTGAGTCTGGTGTATGGGGTCTGTGAGTGTTCTGGGTGGCCATGGTTGGTTGACTCAGGCTTCCACTAAGCAAGAATTGGCAAACTGAGCATGCAGAGGCTTTGACGGTGCACACTTCCTTACCAAGGGAAGACGGCATCGTTCTGAGCACTAATAGGAACAACAATAATACATTGAAGTATGAGTCCTCAGCTTTTATGGACTCTGGATGTGGCCTTGCATCTTAGGGACAGAGAGAGCTTAGAACTTAGAGCCTGACAGGGCAGCTGGACAATAAGCAGAAGACTCACCAGCACTTCCATTCTTTCATTCACTCTCCCTGGTCACCTCCTGAACCTAGGCCAACTAGCAGGCAAGGAGCCAGGAAGAAGGAGCATGAGGCATGCTGTGGCCAGGAAAGCACTTGGAGAGGTAGCAGGAAGTGTTGAAGATGAGGGGGCAGGAAGGTGAGCCCTGGCTAAATCTTGAGTAGTTGGGCAGGTGGGTGGGTAGGGGGTGAATTCCTAAGCTGCCCGCCTCTCTCCCCAACTCCTCTGAGCCTCATCGTGGTCTTGTCCCCTCACACCTCTCACCTGTGGGGGCCTCCATCAGGGTTTCCCTCTCCTTGGACAGTCTTTTGGAGATCAGGCTTGGCAGCACCTTGCAGAACAACAGGAAAGGGAACAATTCTTGCCTGGGTAAAAGAAGAAAAGAAACAGAATGATAGGGAGAGCTAGGTGCAGCAGAGGGTAAGCTGAGGTCAGAGAAGAGACTGGGAAGGGGACCTGGGGGTCCCCCAGGGCGGCCCCACTCCCATCACTGGCCCTCCAGAGGGTCAAGACCAAATGGTCACTGCAGCCGGCGGTGCTTCTTGCTGCAGTGAGTGCACCCAGAAGGCTGGTCAGCCCCTGGGAGTCTAGAGAAATTTCCATGGGTCCTAATATTTTCTTAGTAATTATAAAAACTTGAACGTAAAACTTTAAAACAAGAAAAGGTTATGGGATGGTGCAGCTGGGGCTGAGGACTGGCTTCTCCAAGCCCCATGCTGCGGCAAGGCGAGCGGATCCAACTGCGTCCGGAAGCGGGGGCTGCCAGAACAGGGGGACCCTGGCAACTGCCAGGACACGCACCACGGCCCAGCTGCCGGCCCGCCCCTCCCGCAGCCGGAAGTGCCACCCGCTGGCCCCGCCCCCGGGCACTTCTGGGGCGCTCTGGGCGCTGGAGGACTGCTGCTCTGTGCCCAGCCCCGCCCAGCCGCCACCTTCCCGGCCCTCGGCCGGAGCTGGGGCTCTCGGTCGCGCGAGTCCAGTAGGAAGCTCTGGGGCAGCGGCCCGCCGGCGCCCGCCCTGTCGCTCCTGGCTCCCACGCCCCACCGGGCAGCGGGCGCTCTGGCCACGGTCCTGGGCGTCCGGCCCTGCCACCGTGCGGCCATCCCCGGGAGCAGAGGAAGGCTGGGGAGCTGACCCAGTGACCGAAGGCGAGGTCGGACCCCGGCAGGAGGGAACAGTGACACACTGGGCGTGGGCAAAGGCTGACCTGGAGCCGGGCTTCTCCAGGCGCCCGCCACTGCTCCGTAGCCGGACTTGGCAGCCGACTGCCCCGTGGTCCGTGAGAGGCCCTCCGGAAGCACCACGGGGCAGGGGTCGCTGCACGCGCACCGCTGGGCACGGTGAGGGGGGAATCTGTAAGGAAAGGAAGGTGCATTTTCCACGTGACGCAAGCCGGTGACTTCCTTCTTCTACTCTATAGTTTCCAGTTTCTCTGAAGTACACTCTACTTATTGAATAAGAAAATAAGGTGTTTTATCAAAATTGACATTTTTTAGAGAATTTTAACATTTTTTTTTCGGTGGACACAACATCTTTGTTGGTATGTGGTGCTGAGGATGGAACCCAGGCCGCACGCATGCCAGGCGAGCGCGCTACTGCTTGAGCCACATCCCCAGCCCCTCAAAAATGACCTCTTGGGGCTGGGAATGTGGCTCAGGCGGTAGCGCGCTCGCCTGGCATGCGTGCGGCCTGGGTTCGATCCTCAGCACCACATACAAAGAAAGATGTTGTGTCCGCCGAGAACTAAAAAATAAATACAAAAAAAATGACCTCTTGATAAACAAGTAAAATATGACATTTATCAGCTTGAAAAAAATGAGGGGATGCAGAGTGTGGTGGTGCACACCTGTGATCCTAGATTTTCAGGGCACAGAGGCAGGAGACTCTCAAAATAAAATAAAAAGGAGCTAGAGGGGATGACAATCCCAGCTACTTGTGTGCCTGTGGCAGGAGGATTACAAGCATAACGTCACTTGGGCGGCTTAGGCAGATCCTGCCTCAAAATAAATTTTAAAAAAGGTCAGGGTGTAGCTCAGAGGTAGAACACTTGCCTCACATATTTGAGGGTTTACTCCTCAGTGCCACATAAAGCAAACGAACAAACAGTGAATTCTTTAAAAGAAAAAATATAGGGAAAAGCTGTTTCATGTCTAAGTCCCAGCAGAGTATGTTCTTGGACCAGTGGACAGTGGACACAATGGCTAGGCCTGCACACCAAGATGCTGAGAGGATTTTCTTCAAATGCGCCTACTTTACCGTCATGCAGATGTGTTGCTGACATTTGTTCCTGAAGATGGCACAAGGCAGATTCAGCCATGGGATCTGCATTGGATTTTCCTTCCCAACAGTTCAGAGATGCATCTGGGGCCCATTACTGGTTCTGCTGAGGCTCCTTCTTCACACCACCTACAGCAGCATTCTCTCCTGTCTGGGATGGAGAGAGCTCCCTTTTCCCACCAGATTTTTCTGGAATTCTGCCCCTGCCTGTTCATCCAAGATGGGCCTTCTGCCAGCTTTCTCCAGAGACTGGGAGAGAGGTCTCCACCCTCTGCAGCCCTGGGCTGAGATGGTGTCAGGCCTGCAGCAGCTGGGGACCAAGGCCAGTCAGTCTTAAGAGATGAGAGACCAGGTGGCGTGAAGGCTCTGGTCCCAACCTGAGCACTCCTCCTCAGATCCCATGTGCTGCCCAGGTCAGAGGAGCACTCTGACACTTGACCTTTGTTTGGTGGGTCCACTTGACTTGACAAGAGTTCAGGCTGAGAACACTCAGAGCTGGCAAGTCCCTGGAGAGGCGGCTGCAGGGGTGCCAGGCAGGACTTGTGGGCTTGCGCACAGGGAGCCATGTTTGCTGATTGGTTTGTCTCCAACACGCCACGTGTGCTCTCTCCCTCCACTAATTTAGACTTCAGGGGACGACACAGACAGGCAGGCCACTCGTGTTGGCTTCCAATCACCATTTTCTCCCACAGTCCCTAGCCACGACAGTCAGCCTTTAATTCAGTAACCCCAAGAGTCTGTTTTATAGATGAGCATTTTGAGAGGAAGGACTGGCGTCTAGGAAATGGGGGACCCCCCTGCTCCGCCAGGCTTTGCTGTGCTAAGAATAGTAGCCAGAAACTACAGAGGCCCACTTCTCATCCCATCACAGGATCAGCCTTTTGGTAAAGGCCAGATAGAAGGCACTGTGTCTTGGATGTCATTCCAGGACCCAGTCTGACAGAATAGTTTAACCCCTTAGGATATCCCTAGTCAATGTGGAGAAGCCACAGGGGCTCTTCCTGTGTCCCCAGCACAATGAGTTCAGCAAAAATCAGACAGTGGGAATCTGCTGCAAGCTGGGAGAGATGGCAGGAAGAATGTGGTGAAGAGGCCTTTGGCTGCCACTTTGCCCATGGTGGTCAAGCAGGCCACTCATTGCCAGGACCCTTTCCTTTTCTGATGCAGTCATAGCTTCTGAATGCGGAGTTGGAGAATGCAGACCACAGGCCTAGGACCACAGAGGGGCAAAGAGCGGCCATGGGTAGGTAGGATACCTGCCCTGCTACAGTGCCCCTGGGCACTTATCCCCAGTGCAGAAGCCTGGGTCAGCCCCAGCAAGCTCCCTTAGGCACCTGCAGCCTGGAACTGGGCTCCTGCACCTGTCTCCTGCCATCCCTCACCATTGTGTGCTTGCGGCTTTCTCATTACTGCATCAATAAAAACATCTGTGATGCATACCCACCATATGCTGCATATTTATTTGAAAAAAAAATTATGCAGTGTTGCAAAACACATATAAAACCAAAACAACTAAAGGGGATGACCTATAAAGTATAAAAGCCCTTCCCCCCCATCCCCATGGAACATTCTGTATTGGGGAGATGTCCTCCCCCCCAGTTATTGATGTTTCCTGTTTGATCTTGATTTGTGGCTCAGGTGAGCTGCGCACCACCACTGGACAGAGTTCAAGCCCTTTTCCCTGGGCAGGAGTCTCCTCTCTTTCCTGCTCATCCCTCTCCTGTCCCTCCCACCATGCCCCGCACCTGGCTCCTTTGCAAATTCCATCTCTCCTTGACCAAGCAGTGTGACTCTGAACCCTGCGGGCCAAGGCCTTTCCTCCCTCCCCATCTGCTGGGAAGGAGCAAGGAACCCCCTGGGCCTGGCTTCGGGCTGGCCCGGTAGGTTCTCGCCATTCTTGTGAAGGGTGGAGTGGGAGGTGAAGGCCTGGACATAAAGCCCAGACAGTTAAATGGTGTAAAAGCATGGTTCACCTGAAGCCGGTCCAAAGTCAGGCCGCGTCGCCTCTGGCCCAGCTCCTGACCTGGTCTCCGGCATTGTCAAAAGCCATCTCAGGAGGGCAATTCCTGCGCAGCTGTCAGGCGCTGTGCGGGTCCCCTGCCACCCCGCGTCTGACCGCCGCTGCCCCGCGCCACCGGCCAGCCTCGGGTTCTCTCCGCGGGCGGCGGGCCGGGCTCACTCCGCGCCGCGCACCCGCCGGTGCTGGATCAGATGGGAGCTGAGGCGGAAGGCGCTGCCCACTCGGAGCAGCGGAACGGCCTCTCGCCCGCGTGCACCCTCTGGTGCCGGAAGAAGCCGACAGCGCCCGGAAGGCGCGGCCGCACTGGCCGCACTCGTGGGGCTTCTCGCCCGCGTGGATGCGGCGGTGCACGCTGAGGAAGGAGGCGCGGCTGAGGGCGCGGCCGCGGTCGGGGCACGCCTAGGGCCGCTCGCCCGTGGGACCCTGCGGTGCTGGAGCTTGGCTGAAGGCCTGGCCGCGCTCGGGCACGCGAAGGGCTTCCCGCCGGCGTGGAAGCGCAGGTGCCGTGAAGTGCGAGCTGTGCGCGAGGGCGCGGCCGCAGTGGCCGACGCGTTCGGCTTCTCCCCGAGAGACGCGCTGGTGCTGGGCGGCGCCTGACCTCCGGCGGAAGGCCCCCCGCACTCGCCGCACGCGTGCGCCCTGGCCCCAGGCGCGGCGGGGAGGCCTCGGCCGGGCGGGGGCTGGGCTTTCCCCCGCGGGCGCCCCGAGGCGCTGCCCGCTCCAGGCCTCCCTGCTCTGTGCTCCTTGGTCCTCACGGTCTGAAACCAGAAAGGGACAGGGCGGTGTCACCGGACTCGTGCCCGGGCCATGGGGGGCAAGAGCGTCCGTTTTCGTGAGAGGCAGGGAGAAGGGAAATTAGGAGCTTTGTCCTGGACGCGGCAGAGAACCAACACAGACACAGAGTGAAGATGCCGAATCCCCATCTCTACTGAAAGACCCTAGCCCAGTTAGCCCAGTTACCTAAGGCCAAGATATGAAATCAAGATACCGGGGCTTGTCATAAACAGGCTCAGGCGACGGATGTGCTTTCCACATAACCGGTAGAGAAAGGACAGAGCACCCCCGCATCCTGAGGCATGAATGAATAAACAGGAACAGATAAGCAGGAACAGAAAGAATAGAATGCAGACCTGTGGTTTTTGGAATGCAGACCTGTACCCCCTAGGTGGACTATATGTTAGATTTAAACAAACCAATAAGAAACCTGTTGCTTCCCGCGGGCGTGAAACCTGTCCCAAACCCTATAAAAATCTCTGTATCCCCAAGCCCGGTGTGCCAGTTCACCAAAGCTCCGGCTGAGGTTCTGCTGGGCACCCGCAGGCGCCTGCGTCCCAATAAAACCTCTTGCTTTTGCAGCCAGTGTTTCGTGTGATTCTCCTTGGACAGGGATACGGGGGTCTTTCATTGGACGGGGGTCTTTCACTACTTGTGAAGTTGATCATACATACTTTTCATTTTGGCAGGCTCACAGTACTTTGTGGTTACAAAACAGGAATCATTACTCAAAGAAACAAAATATTACGTAGCTACAATTAGATAAGAATGTATCCTGGCTTATGCATAAGCAAGCATTTTTACTTTCAGTTTGCGTTTTGCTTTAAACTGTTTCTGTTAGTTAGCTTTTAATAATAGTTAGAAATGTCCAGACTACTGGCCTACACCTTGACTATTCTTTCTTGATTTATTGACTAGAACAGCCACGGTTATGGCAGGTGGTTAGCTTGAAAAGAGAGGCTACTGATTTTAATCAAACAAGAGTAAGAGCATCAAACCATTGTGCACAGGAACAAGAACAAGTTGCCCAGTACCAAGCACTAATCTGTCTTCTTAACATGAATTCTTCTTCTCTAGATTTTAATTTAATTTATCAAAACTTCCTTGACTGTTTTTCCTACAGGGGGTTTCTCATTAAACATTAACAATTTACAGTTCCACAGATGAATCATTTAGAGCAAACAGATTCATTCTTTAGAAGTAGTTGCATTAATTGGGAAAGTCACGTTTTTTCCTTCATACTTAATGGTCATATGAGAAGTCGCAACTAGACTTATTAAAGGAATACAGAAACAAACCAGCCCATTCCCAGAAACATACTGCACTCCTCCAGAGGATGGACACCTGGCACCATCCACCTCAGTAGGGCCTTGCCACTGCCTGAGTCAGGGGAGGGGTGCAGCAGGGAGCGGTGGCGGGACTTGTGGGTATTGGAAAGGGCCTGAGCCCTGCACCTCCAAATGCAGACCGCAGGCCTAAGTCACCGAAGCTTAGCACTCCTTAAAGGTGCCAGGGCTGAAAAGCTCAGTGGGTTCCTGCTCCCTGGCCTAAAGGCAAGCCATAGGACAAAAGGAGAGGTGACTGCCAGGCGCAGGCGGGGCACAGGACCTCACAGAATCAGCAGGGGACAGGCTATCTGCTCCCAGGACTGTCCAAGGACCTCTCTGTGGGCCTGTCTGCCCACCACCGTGCTTGTCACCAGCAAGCATTCTGCCCCAGCTCCCTGCGGAGTGGCCTCTGTGTCTCATCTGGGTAGGGAAACCCAGATCCAGGCAGCTGTGCGACCTGCCCCCTGTCCTCACTGAGCTGCTGTGGCACAGTGTGTTCCTAACTATTTCTAGAACCTTCTTGTTTCTTCCTAAAAATAAGTCACAGAAGAGAAAGAGCAGAGGGCATGGTGATGTGGTCCTGCTCTCTGCTAAGTCTGGGCTGGAGTTGGCTGGACACAGCGCTGCCTGGCAGCCTCTGAGGAGAGGTGGAGAATGTCCCACAGGCCTAGTGTGACCCAGGAGGGTGGTCTGTGGGCTAGAGAGGTGAGGAAAGAGGGACACTGCATTTTAAAGAAGACATGGGGCCACAGCTTAGGGAAGACCTGGCTCCTGTAAGGGACATGGCAGAACTGGCAAAGGGCAACTGGCTCTCCTGCCAGGACAGGCTGCCTATGAGAACCCAAAGGAAAGCCTGAATCTGCACCAAACCACACTGCCCATCTGCCGGCAGACGACACCCTGCCTAAGGTCCGGGTGGGAGCTGGGAGTTACCAAACGTGAATTACAAGACTGAGTCCCCCTGCCCCCCCAGCACACAGGTGGACTTCTGTCCCCACCTGCCTCCCCCCAGGCCATGGGGAACTATCTGGCTCTTGGGAGTCAGTGCTTTTCACCTCAGCTGCCTGGGGCCAGCATACTGTACTGAATTAGAGTGGGTAAGGAGGTATGTGACAAAGTCACCAATTGCTGGACACTCTGAAAGTGGCCCACAAGCAGCCAGGCTCTCTGGAGCATCCTCCTGACTTTGAGACCTCGGCTAACACCAGATGCACTGGAATGCATGAAGCACCCCTGGGCAATGCCTGGGGCATAACTGGCCAAACCTGCTTCCCATGCTGGGGACACACTTAGGAACAGCTCTCCCATTGGGATAAAAGGTCTCTCCCAAGGAGCATGGATGGGCATTCCAGGACCCTGAAGGGGAGCCTGGAGGACCCTGCTCACACCGATGCCCCTGTGACCCCCATCCAGGCACCCTCCCTGGAAACACGCCATCCACTCCCAGTCACAGCAAACTGAGGGAGGACAGGGCAGCAGTGGAGTGCAGTGTGGGCTCCAGAGTCCAGTCCTGGGCTCAGCACACAGCTGTGTGTAGGGCCTCACTGGGCCTCATCCCCCTGGAGCCCCTCACAAGGGCTCCAGGACAGATCCTGGCAAATCTGAGACCTCAGGTCAGGAAGGTTATTTTAGGGATGAGTTAAGCATTGAGTTCCCTTTAAAACCAAGAACTGATTGAAAATATAGGCAAACACTTCTTCATAATTACTGACAGGAAGGAAAAACGTTTCCTGGCTTCCATTATTCTTTTTCTTTCTTTTCTTTTTACATTTTCTAAAATCTCTTTAAAGACCACAAACAAATGCTTTGGGGAAAAAGAAATTTGTTAAAAACGTGCTTTTTAAGGATGTGACTTCAACTTTCCTCCCTGAGGTCTGCGGTGTGGTGGGGTACCTCCCACCCACCCAGTAGGGCAGCAGGCAAGGGTGGGCTCTTGGCAGAGCCCATGGAGGCTGCTGGCTGAGTGAGGGAAGGCAGCAGGGTTGGCGCTCCAGCCTGAGGGACGAAGAAAGGGGCTGGAGAGGTAAGTACCGTGTTCTGGGATGCTGGCTGCCTGACGGAGTCTGGCCGGTCTCCCTGGGCAGGTGAGGCGGGAGACAAGGTTAGAGCCGGTGCCAGAGCCCATTGGCTGGGATGTACACTTCCCGGTCCTGCGGGACTCAGAAGGCACCCCCCCCCCCGGGCTGTGCTTAGAGCCCAGGTGCGCTCCGAAGGGACTCAGGACTGCGCAGGAGGCAGGCAGCGGCTAGGTGCCTGGCCAACAGACTGTGTCCAGGCAAGGTCCAGGAGGGTGGGTCTCTTCCGGCGGCAACAGCAGGAGCATCCCTTTCGCCCCGACTGGTGTGCAGGAGAAGGCGACAGGGGCAGACGCTCGGCGATCCCGGTGGGCTGCACTGAGAAGGCGCTGTCCCGACATTCCAGGACGCGCCTTCGCGGAGAGGAACACGCCGCGCAGCTTTCCCCACGACTCCTCCAGCCTCCCTCCTTTCACGGTGGCCACCAGGTGTCGCTGGCCAAACGGTACCGGCCTCGTTCAAGGCGCGCCTGCGGAACGGGTCCCTGGCTTGATGCAGGGGACACGCCCCACGCTCACAGCTCCAGCTGGCCGCCGCGCGCGGGGCGGACCGGGACCAGAGGGGCCCGGGAGGACGCACGGCCGGCCGGCTCGGGGGCAGGGGTGGGGGGTGCTCCGTGGCCCTGGAGGCCCAAGTTCCAGCGCGCGGAACGCGCACCGCCGAGACGCAAGCGCGCCCAGCAGGCCCCGCCCCACGCTGCAGGCTCTTCCGAGGGCTGGTTCCTAAGCCCAGCCGGGGACCGCGGCTGCTCGCCCGGCGCTGTCCGAGGTGCTGGGGGATGCGGCGGTGGGGCACAGACCGGGCTAGCAAAGGGACCTAGAGGCCATAAGGGCTTGCGGGAACTGGGGGAAGTAGGTGGGAAGAAAAAGGGAACCCAACTCTGGGTTGAGGCTGTGGTCCAGGAGAGAGGGGG